GGTTTCCATCCAAAGGAAAGTCCATATCTCAAGTTTTGAATCATACAAGGCTCCAAGGAAGACATAACAAGCATCAAAGAGGGTCTAATGGAGGAATACACAAGGTAATAACTTTATTACCTGAATGAGAAATAGATGGAAGCTAACTCTTGGATATCCTTTCTCTTCCATGGACCTTCTTTCCTTCCTTCTCTTCCAAAGCTTCCAAACTAGCACAAACACACTCAAGCTCAACAATGGGGGCTAGGGTTTACAGGGGAAATGCTCTAAAGGTGCTGGAGGCTGGGGTGGGAGGCTATAATGACGTTTAAATAGGGTACAAACCCTTGAAATTAGGGATTCATCCAGACAGGCTGACTCGCCGAGTCCCAACATATGGACTCGCCGAGTAGCCAACTTAAATCGCGTGATCATCCCGTCTCTACTCGACGAGTCGGGCTACAGACTCGCCGAGTACCCCTTAAGAAAATGAAAATTACTTTATTAAATCACATACCATAAATGGGGCGTTACACTGATACCAATTGTAACAACCCGTATTTTTTTCATAAATATTAAACATTTAAATTCTAGGAAAATATCAAACTTTACATGTTATCACAAAAACTAAATTTTCAAAAATCTTTAAAAGTATTCCCAGAAACATCAACGGGTGTTACCAATTCATATCATAACAATAATTAAAGCAACAAGGATAAACATGAAACAAAAGTTTAGTTTGATGTCCTTGATGTTTCTAAGCCTACACACTCTAAGGTTTTCTACTTGAACCTATAAACACATGGAAACAGTATATGTCATACTTTAAGCCTGGTGAATTATAAAATAACATAACATACAACATAATCATAAAATAATACTCATACTTCACATATCTAGCAAGTAACATAAGTAACCATGCATCTATACATTTATCAGATGTTAAACAACCATACTTCATCATCTTGTTGTTTCCATTCAAAACTCTAAGAACATTCTTTCCTGAGGGTCCTTTATTCTAGCTCATTGCATGCACATGCACACATGTCATAAAACCCATTGCAATCTACTTTAACCACCATGTCATGATACCATACACCCCGACGTGGAGAAAAGTACCTTTCTTACGACTTACGACGGATGATGCACCAAAATCACCTCTTTGCCACCACACCGCGGTAAGCATCTCACTGCACCGTAGTGGAGCTGGAATGAACAATTCCACTGCTTTTCCAATGCCATTCAATCAAAAAATTACATCTAACAATTCCATTCCATTCTAACTCAAAATAACATATTCTTATAACTTCAAAACATAAGATAAACTAGTGTTGTAAAAAATCGGCCTAGGCAGTGTAGACGGTCTAAGATGGAAAAAAAGTCAGACATTAAAAATTTTCAAAAAAAAAATCCTCGATTAGTCTAATTTCTGATATTGGGTGACTAAATTAAGATGATTGATGATTAAAACTATTAAAAAGATTTCCAATTAGTCTTAAAATTATTATATACGATGATTTAAATATTTAGATGACTGAATATGCCAAAATTTTATGGTTATTTACTTATTTTGTTAGGATATATGTAATATTTAATTTTTAAAAAATAAATGCTATTATTAAAGGTCTCCGCCTAGGCGCCGATTAATCCCCGCCTAGACCGATTAGTCCATTAACCCCATTCGACCTCCGGACCACCGTCTAGCGACTTTTACAACCTTGATAAAACACATATAACATATCAAACATCATTCCACAAATCTAAATATCATCAAAAGGACCAAATGTCATTGACATCAAAATAACAATCTACATCATAAATATCCAAAAACCTCGGTTCTTGCACCAATTAATCCTTTTGATTAATTAATATTCAAGCCTTTTAATTATTTAAAATCTTTTAATTAATTACCAAAATAATTTTTAATTAACTTATTAATTCCTTAATAAATTAAATTTTTATTTATCTCCATTTCCTTATGTCATTTGGGTCATGAGGCCAACCCAAAAGGACCCTATTATTATTAGAAATATTATCAAAATAGTTAATGACCTTAGACACTATTTCCAACAAAAATACACGCCACATTCACCGCAATATTCACCAAATCGTTAACTTCAACAAAACTAATACGGAGAATATAAACATATATATATATATATATATATATATATATATATATATATATATATATATATATATATATATATATATCATCGCATTCCCTACAATGTTTAATAGTTGACTAACTTATGTCCACTAAGTGTAGTTAATTAATATTTTCAACTTTACGGTTTAAGTTTGGGAATCTACTACAAGACACCTCATTCATTTAAACCATGATCTAATACCAACTTGTAACATTCATATTTTCATACAAGGTACACCCCAAAAATGTATTTATTTACAACCTTATAAAACATTTTGGTGCACACTAGCATACTAGAATACAAGAAGTGATAACCATGGATTTAGGATGAGCATTTGTACCTCCAGACCAGGAACCTGGCCTGGACTTGGACTTAGTAAGCCTCAACAGGTCTAGTACAAGGTCCACCAATTACTACAAAACTGGTATGGTGTAAGATCTGATCCGGTTCGGTCCAAATGCTCACCCAGCATCCAAGAACATGGAATCGGACCTAATCCTGGACCTGGTAAGCCATAACAGGTCCAGTCCAAGGTCCACTAATTTCTGTAAAACTGACCCAGTTCAGGATCCGGTCTGGTCCGGTCCAAATGTTTACCTTACCATCGATAGTATTGGCATCAAGTACATGATCCGAGTCGGGCGCTACAATCAACCTAACGTGCAAGACAACACCAACAAAATGGCATAAGCTATGAAGCTTAGTGAATAACTACTACAGTAACATAACAACATATATAATCAGATATTAAAACAAATTATCATTAAAAAAGAAACACCACATCTAACACCCATAAAATTCATGAAAATTTAAACTTTTTTAAAACCAACAAGAAATCATATTTGTTTACAACATAGTTTTCAAAACATGTTTAATATCAGATTTTTCCCAAAATCATAACACAAAGCACGAGGAGGTGCACGATCAAGCCTTCTTCTTCTCGCGATCATCTGAGGTACCTGAAACATAACCCAAAATTGTAAGCCCAAAGCTTAGTGAGTTTCCCCAAAATACCACCACATAAACATAATAACAAACAACATGCATAACGAACCTTCAGTATGACTGGACCGCCTCACCGAGCCTTCAGCCTATCTGGACCGTTCTTCGGGCCTTCGGACTAACTGGTACGCCCTCCTGGCCTGCAGTCTACCCGGGCCGCCCTGGGTCTGTTGGCCTTCAGTCTACACTGGTCCGCCTCAACATAAACCACTCCTCCCGAGCATCTGTGCCTACGGCTTACAGCCGGCCCGCGTCGGGTATCTTAGCCTACCGCACAAATCAGGACCACCTCATCCCAAACCAAGCACAATATGTCGACTTATAAATACTCAGGATCAAGTTGGCACATAATACATGCAAACATCAATCATACATCTCATTACTGCCTACTAATCCTCTCACAACATACAGTCCAACTACTAGCTAACGCCCATGGAATGTGTAACCATAAGTAACCGAAGGTGAGATAGCCACCTGTTGGGAATATAATCCTTTAAGATCGATTAGATTCAAATAGGTAAAGTGATAACACGATATGAAACACAAGAACAAAGATGTATCACCTGTGTCGAATGATTAAAGACACAACCTCAGAAGAACTCTATAAATAATTGCTACTGTAGAGGTGTGCTAGGGTTACAGAGAAAAGATTAATCAACAAAAGTTTACTACGATGCATGCATGCACTATAAATATACTATAACCCTAATATTTAATACGGTTGGACAGGCCCAAACCGTGTACATGATGGACTTAGAAAAACGGCCCAATGACGCAACTTATTATACTCAACAATCTCCCCCTTTGCGTCAATTGAGGCCCGAACCCTTCAGCCTTGGATTTTCTTCTGTACTTCATACACGTTTAGAATCATCGCATAGATTGCTTGACGAACTTCAATGTACCAAAGGATCATATCTGAGAAGCACTTGATATCTTCTTTCTTGTTGCCTCTGAACTTGCTCACTTGCTCCAAAATAAACTCAAGGAAGGTTGTGGTATAGAGATGCTTATCAGAAAGATAGAAACATCATTTTCTAAAATCTGCTCCAGTTCGCTCCCTAGCTGAATAAACCACGAACCAATCTCCAGTGTAAATTTTCCCTGGTTTAAATTTTTCAAAATCCTCAGGAGTTTTCTTAAGAACAGCCGAAGGCTTCTTTCGCAGGATGGCACCAACGTCAACATCCATTTCTCCAACCTCCTGAATGTAGGATTGTATCATGAGCGTGAGATGAGACATGACTTGTTCATACTTTTCTTTTTCCTTCAGCAATATGTTGTAAAGGACGAACCAGTCGTTTGGATTAAGGCATGGAAGATCTGCTAGAGTAAACTCACAGCATTGACTGGCTGAACCTCTAGTCACTTTAAATTTTGTGTTTGGAAAGCTATCAGTCTCAATCGGTCCTGTAACTTTCACACCCGTGATTTTGCTTAATGACCATGTCTCGTATTGTGGTTTCATATGCTTTAGATAGAAAGAGAATAGCATATGATCTGCCCCGCTGTCTGTAATAGGAACATTCGCCACTTTAACAAAAGAACGAAACCTGAATGCTTTTTGAGTAATTGGTAGATCTAGTTGGGAGTCTCGAGTGTTCTGAAGTTCAAACGAAACTACTGGTTCTAACCAATACTGGCTTGGAAGATCAACAGCATCACGCTGGATTCGCTTCAAGGTCCACTTGGGGGAACAAGAGCTTTTTACTCTGAAGAGTAGCATGTGCTTATTTCTCAGCCCTTTCCTTTTCTTCAGCTTCACGGATGATTCGCTGATGTTCATCCATTTCAGCTTCACGGACTTTTCTCCTTTTCAATTCTTCTTCAGTAATCTCTTCTTCTTCTTCATTGTGAATGATTCGTTCTTCACGAAACAACTTCCTTTTCCTTTGGTTCCTTCTTGACAATAGTCTTAACAGGGGCTTTGGGTGGCTTGACTAAATTTTTAGGTTCTTCTGTACGTGATCCCTCAGCCACATTTTCTTTTCTAGCTCCTCCAATGACACTTTCTCCCCCTTGTTTCAGATTCAAGGATTGATCAGAAACACCTTCAAGGCGATGAAGCATGGCAAATACTGTCTTTAACTTCTCTTGCAGATGCTTATGTATAGTAATGGTTATCATAGAGTCCCTAGTCTCAATGATGTCTGAGAGCAAACCAGTAACATCAGTTATACAGCTTCTCATGACAGCCCTCTCAGATAACAAATCATTGACTTGTTTCTCCGAAGCTTCAATTTTGGTGCTTAATAGCTTGGCTTCTTTGGTTTTAAGAGCGAGAGAATCCTTGAGGGTGCTTTCTTTTACAAGTTCGTCCTTAAGTTGAGAAAGCTGAGACAAAATAGTGGTTTGAAAGGAGTTATGGTCAGTTTTCAGACCAGTGCGAATTTCTTGGAGTTTTGTCCTTTCAGTCGTAAATAGAGAACCCAGACTCTTCAATGCTTCATTTGCTGATGTGGTGTTGGAATTGTAAGTGGTTTGAAAGTTCTCCATGAAACTAGTTGTCTTCTCAATTAGCTTATCGACTCTTTCGGTCGTTGACTTGCAAACCTCAGGAGAATCAGCAACAACTTTATTCGATGTCTCCATAGAAGATGAATGTTGTTTCATGATTCGCTCAAAGAGGGACTCAATAGCTGCTTTAGCATAAGCTTCAATAGAAGAGTCTTTTGTAGATTGAAGTAGATGGTCAATCTTTTCATTTAGGGACTGAAGTTCGTCACTTGCCCCTCATCTTCATTCTCAGTCCTAATTTGGAAGGGACTGTAAGTAAAACCCCCAAGATCTGCATCTTCGTCATCACAGAAGAGCATTTCTGGATCATCACGGTTAAGAGGGGAAAGAGGTGGTGAAACATGTGTGGAGAAACCAGTTGTTAGAGCCCCCGTATCAGATACGTTGACTGAAACAACAGGTAGGATGGAGACAGTGGGACCAACTGTTGAATCAGTAAAGAAAGGGATCGAAAAAGGAATGCTTGTTTGTGGTTGACAAGAAACTGGTGGTTGAGATGAAACTGGGATTGATTGTGTAGTGACAGGAGGTGGAGAAGGTGTGATAGTAATGGGAATGGAAGTGTGAGTAGGAGAAGGGGGTGGAGTTGGAAGTTTATCATTTAGATTTACCTCGTGTTGTGGAGAAGGTGGAGGCGAATCACCGCGTTATGAACCCTCAGACTGAGAATGTTCGCTTTCCGAGCTTGATGAAGATGAGCTAGGAACCAGAGTCATCTTGCGTAACTTTCTCTTTTTAGGAGCTGAAGGAGCTGCTCCTTGAGGCTTTCGCTTCTTAATGGTAGATGATTGAGAAGATGGACCTTCTGGAACCCCTTTCTTCTTTTCCCCTTTCTTTCCTCCCTTTTTGGGTTTATCAACCTCATCTATTGATATTTGCATCTCTGATGTAAGCTCCTGAGGACCCGAAGCATGATTCTTGTTTTACTCTGTGATAATTTTACTCTCCCCTGAAACACATCTATACATCGTCTCCGGAATCGACCCCACAAACGAAAACTTTGAATTATCAGCAATAATAATTTTCGTGGTGTGAAAGGTAGCAATGGATGACATTAACGAGCCCTCCATCACTGGAATGTTGAACTTTTCAATAGCCCTCTGCACTACTATCATCCAGAAATGTCCGCAAGAGATTTCGTGATGTCGAGATGAAGAATTCATACTTTGTACCAATTGAGCCCAAAGCACGGACCCATAATCCATATTAATCCCATGGTAGAGGCCATATAGGATTGTCATAAAGGATTTGCTAGCACAGTCAGACCCAGATACTCTCTCAGATAATGCCTTGAAAAGAAGAGTAAACAAACCGTTCCATGGTGGTGGGAGAGAAGATTCCTTGAATTTTGTGATGGTGGTGAGAACTTCGGTATACCCCATGTTGTAAAACATCTCGAAGATCTGTGAAGTGGTGATGGACTCAGGGTTCACCATGTAATCAACATAGTTTAGCCCTAGAAGAGAGAAAAATCTGGACCTGGAAACCGAGTGTTTCTTATCATGAACTTTCGAAGATAATCTTTTCCTCCTCCTTGAGATACTTGGCAGACCAGAAGGCCTTTGATAACAGGGACATGGGAACACATTCAACCTTGGTTAGGGCATTAACCAAAGGTGAGTACTTCAGGCACTCGACAATTGGAAGCATGTACGGATCATACTGGACTGGAGCCAAGTCTAGGATCAAGTTTTGGTTAGGCTTGATTGTGAGAAAAGAAGACTGAGTTGAGTGTTCTTGAATAGAGGAAGAGTCGGCCATTATTGCAGTAGCTTGAAGAAGATGAACAGTAAGAAAGAAATCGCCTTTTAGGGTTCTTGAGAGTGGTAAAGAGTAACTTAATAATCGATAACCCCTTTTATACAATTGCCCAAGAGAGAGAATCGAATTGGCAATCACGTAAAAATCTCGTAACCAACGCCTAAAAAGATGTGATTTGATAACCATTCCTCCGAAAAGTATGGCAGGCGTCATGACGATTGGTGACGTTTCAAATTCACGCGCCTTTTGTTTGAAATCCTATCCCTTTTCTGCGTCAGCATGAACTTGTTATCAACGCTTCTGTTCTCAATTAAATGTGGAAGCGAAACATCATTAGTTCAGTAAGACAAAAGAGCAATAATCACCACGAACAAGACTTTTGGAAAACGAATACATTTTCGTGCAAGAGTGTGCCAAAGAAAAAGAAATAAAACAAATTATATCTGTGGGATGTAAGTGATGTCATTAGAGACACGAAACTGTGGATCCCGGACACGAATCTCTTCCTTCAATGTCAAGAGAGACTTAGAAGTGTCTGTGTGGTTTCCCGTTGAAGTACGATCAATTGTTTTGGACCATTTCCAGATTTTGATACAAATAAAGGGGTATATTGATGCAGAATTACCATTCCAGCCCCTGTCTTTCAGCAAGTGACAGTTTCTGCCCAATATTCAGAAAATTTTACAAATTTGAGGGCTGGTGAACAGTTTTGAATTCTTTAATGCATATATTTTTTCATGAACAGCAAAATAAAGATTCCATCAAGTCTTGGCAGTTCGGAAAGTCATTTTTCGTGATAATGACAAATTTTCACGACTTTTTCGAATTTTATACTTTTTTGTGTATAACATTTTGTCACGGGGGAGCATAGTATTTTTTTATCCATTCAAGATAATTCTCATGACCATTAGAAGGCTTTATAATCATGTTTTTGATTATAAATCGGGGGAGAATTTGGTATGGCCATTCGAAATTGGATTTGTGACTTCTCAAATTTGAAGAACTTTGATAAAGCTTGTGGTAGAATTATGAAGGTAGCTTTTACAGTAGCAGTTCTTCATCGAGCTCTTCTAAAGCTTTTGTAGAGAAGTATCCTTTACAGTAGCAGTTCATCATCGAGCTCTTCTAAGGACTTGTTATATCTCCGACTTCTAGTATTTTCTCCATCAAGTGGCGTTACGAATCTTAAAATTTGGGTTGTTACATGATAAATTTTGATGACTTATATCATTAGCTTATTTGAAGATCATTGTGACTTGGAGGGGGAGCTCTTCAAAGACAAGAAGTGATTTGGTTTCTTTGTTCTGAAATGGGTTTTTATGGCGGGTTTGGCTTTATTGAAGATCTTTGGGATTACATCTAGAAAATGAAGTTTAAAAACATTAGTTCAGTGCTTGGTTTTTATATATTCTAGAACCCGTGGTTGAAGACTATTGAAGAATCAAAATTCATGAATTGCTTCAAATATTCCTCGTTGCAATATATTTTCTTATTTGCTAGATGCTTGTTTTGGAAGTCAAAGCATTGTCATCCATTCCATACTTTGAGGGGGAGATTGTAGGGTTTCAAAGTACTCCATGGATGATGGCAATGGGCCCCCTTGATGAAGTGTAGGTTAAAAGCCCAATACTTGTCTTTTCCCTATAAATAGTCATATATTATTCATAATTAGGGTTAAGAGTGAGGCAAAATGTAGCCGCCACGTTGTGAGGTTTCTTGTAGAGTTAGATTCTTATTCCTGAAAGTGTAATCTGTTCCTAATAATTGAATAAATTGAGTGATCATTCGACATATCTTCGTATTTGTGTTTGTTCTTATTTTCCGCATCTTTTTCATCAAATCACAATTAGTGTTTTAATCCCAACACCACCCGAACAGATGGTCATAATCAAGAGCCACAACCCAACAAGGAACAGGCAAGAGAGCCTAGACCAAGAGTTCTCAGGCTATCCTACATGAACACTGACAGTCCCTAAGGGCACACCATAGATGAAAACCAGCAAGCACAGATAACATACAGATCTACAAGTTCTTACTGTAAAACAACATACTCAATACCAAAAGAAAGATCTAACTGATCACTAGAACATAGCAGCATACTCGATACCAAAACACATATCTAACAGATCACCACAGCATAGCAACATACTAAATATCAACAATCCAAGGAATGCATGGCCGTATATATTCAGAGGTGAGATAGTCACCCACACAGGTGATCCTTCTCTAAAACCACAACCAAACAAGGAACATGTAAGAGAGCTTAGATCAAGAGTCCTCAGTCTATCCTACATGACTATATACAGTCCCTAGGGCATCCCTCTACTAATATATAACCAAAAATAGTGGGCCGGAATTGGTGCCTTCGATCCATAGGTACAGTGAGGCGAAACTCACCTCGATAGGCGTGTAGATAACCACTGTAGCAATGAAGGACTCTGCCAGCTCCAACCCAAATACGCGCTCGATCATTGTCCAACTAGAGCTCCCCGATTCTAGGGTTTTTCACATAAAGTGATAACTAGGGTTAGTGTTCCATACATAACCCCTTAAGGACTCAATCCACTAATTCTAATATTGCATTAAGTTAAATGTAGATAATTATTAAGTATTATTTTAAGTTTAATTAACAGCTTAAACGCGGGTCCCGACCAACCCCAAACTAGGGTTCTTTTTTTACATAGGGTTTTCTAAACCCGAATTAGGGTTTCCAACCCAACGCGTGCCACTCAGTCTAACGTTAGATGATTAGTTCATTAATATTTAATAAATCGAGAACCACCCACTGCCCCCTCGGGCAGTGGTGATCGGTGGCGGTCCGTGGCGACAGCTACCCGCACACGGCGTCGGTTCGAGTGATAAATAGACAATCCAAGCACACATAAATGGTCTTACATCACACACACACACTAACACCAAAAAGAACATGGAAAAAGCTTGATACAACCACCAAGATGGTGGCAGACAACGACAGACGGCAGCAGCTACCACCTCACGGTGGTGGTGGTGGGTTTTCTTCAACTTCCGACCAAGAACCGAACTTACAACCTTACACCATAAAAAAACGCACAAACACACCAAATCACACACACACATCCACCTCTCACGATGGCTGGTGGCTGCATAATAAGACGGTCATGGTGGCTCTTTTCGATTATCCGGACAACCAAGACACACACGCATGCCACTCAAGCAAAATACGAACTCAGCAGCCTCCT